GCTGCTATAAGATGCTAAAGGTTCCCACCGCCCACCTCAGCGAATGGCTAGTGTGGGCATAGAATCAGATCACTGATGTCTGAAAAAGGGGACTCGCATGCCGATGGAAATTTCTCACATAAAAAACTTTCCATCAAAGCAAATTTTTGGGAAAGGAATAAAGACGTATCAATCACGATTGAAAAATGTCTTCCCCGCAACATCGTACCCCACAGCAGAAAGCACTATCACTATCACTATCATTATCCTGCCTGTGCCACTGGCATCTCGTGCTTCTTCTGCTTCTGCAGATTTTCCCAATGCTCCTGGAAAATTGGGCTGGATTCTTCCAGCAGGAAAGATGTCAAACTTCGCGGCTCGTGGTTGTCCCGAATCCATGTTGCGATGTCCTGGCAAACACCGGAGTTCTGACTCCACAAACTCATGGAGGACTTCGGTCTTATTCTATTTTCTTGTTCTACTTAGATTCTACTTCTCAACGACACTGCCCGCAACCGGACAGAACCCCATATCACCTAGCACCCGAGTGGATTATGATTATACTCTTAGACTCTTCGACCAAACAAACACTTCGGTTGCTTCTGTCCCTAACTGCCACCTCGGCGGTACCCCAAACGATTGGCTTGAGAACTCACACAAACAATCATTTATGCACACAGCAAGTTGACTGGGATGGCCATGCGAATAAGCCGCAACTTTGGATAGGGCCTCTTGATTATCGAATTTGCGCTGCAAACATATAGAACATAGCTTGCGTGCTTCAACCTGATGATGGGAACTCGAGCTCACGTTCGCAAGTTGAATTCGGAACTTTTCTGTGTACAGCGTACACCTCTGCATGGCTTGGACCTGCCAGGTGCTAGCTGCTAGCTACAGTACCTGACGATGACAAGATGGGATGAGGCTGACGACCCTGGTGATTTTGCCTGGGGTGATGACGATAGCAGATAGCAACTGCAGCAACGGTGACCGTGATGATGATGATGATGATGATGATGACGATGATGATGATGATGGCGGCGATGAAGATGGTGATGTTCATGGACTTTGTGATTACAAGAGTGTGTCCGAATCTTTTCATCTTGTTCTTACCAGGCCTATATGTCGGGTGCAGCCACAGTTATTCCTTATGCGATGCCACTTTTGTAGCTTTCCAGACTCGAGAATGTTAGACTCTAGACACTATCCAGCTCGCCCGCACTCGGAACGATCCTCCAGCAGTTTCTTGAAGCCTTTCACGTGCTCCAGAGTGAACTTGTCCTTCCTGAAGAAGATCATGTAGCACCTGGCATGAGTCGTTAGCTTAAGGCTTAAGTTCTGGACATTCGACCTAGTGAGCTACAGTTTCGCATCACGACAGTTGAGAAGTTTGCTTAGTCGTTCTTGCTACTGTTTGTAGTTGTAACAGTCCTAGCACACCAGTCAAGGCCGGGCGAATGATTGCAGCAGGCTTAGGCCGTTGAAGATCGCGCGGGAGTTTGGGGAGGGTCAATGTCATAAATCTTTCTGTTCCGCAAAAGTTGTACATGGAGCTCGCCCCTTAGCCTAGTCAGGCCCTCATAATCGACTGGTTCGGTTACATCGACTACAACTTGATTAAATTATAACGTCAAAGCCGCTAGCCAGAATCATCAGGAAAATTGTTACTGTTAATGCCGAACAACTACATAGAGACATCATTGAAGCTCGACAGCCCGCTTCAGCCCGAAAGCCGGTACTCAGAAGCATCCGGGAACAAGCCGATATTCGACTGCTATACAACCCAGTGGACCTAATGACCTAATGACCTAATGACTTCATGCACGAAATGTAGAGTGCTCTGTTGAGAGGGAAACACCGCAGTCCGAGGCAAATACTGTGTTCAGTTCAACAGCAGCAGTCACTAGTTCCAGGCTAGGGCGGCTAGGGCCTAGGGGCAGAACAGGACAAGCCTACAGCCAACCATGTCTTCATGTCTTCATTTCCCAAGGAAAAGCTTCTTGCAACAACTCATCTGGAAAGTTGTCTTCCTTTTCCACAACTCCACATCCACATCAGTGGCTGCCGACTTTGCAAGAGGTTCAACGGAACCCAGCTGTGCACAGACTGCACGGACGAAGGCAGCACGATAGAGCCCGATAGATCCTGCGCCTTTCTATGTGTGCACTGGTACACATGTACTTATAAATATACAGGTTTGTTTATATAAATATATACATACATACATAAACATGTACAATGTAAATACATATAGATATACATTATTATATATATATATATGTACTAGACTCTGGAAATAAGGATGTTGGAGACATACCCTGCTGACGCGTTGCATGGGGCTCTATCTTTTACCGTATGCGGAGTGGCTCCGACTCCTCCCCTTCTCGTTGAGGACGTTCTGCCGTGGCACTGAACTGAGCAGCACCTTCTAGAGACAAGAATTGCGATCGAGCCTCCTCCCGCGAAGCATGAGTGTGCCGAAACTTTCTAAGGTGGCTCTGTTGATCATCAAACTCAGCATGGGAGAACAACCATTGGCACAACAGGCCAAGCGGCCGTCCCTGACCAGCAAAGCCGCCCTCAGGACGGCCACGGCCCCGGCAAGTTCGTTCCATTTTGCAGTCCGGGTGCAATGGGCATATTGCAAATAACACTTTGTTGGCAGGCACATATCTCAACTTGCCTGCTGATCCCAGTGAAAATTCGAGCTTCTCGAGCTGCCGAGCAGGTTGCAGAGCTCGTGGGGCCGCCGATGGTGCAGAAGGCTCTGCAGCCTCCCCAATCATCACCCCAGCGCTTCCCGAAAGGCCGGAAGGCACCGGAAGAGCTTGAGGCACATCGTCGAGGTCTGCGGCCGAACCATGTCGACCAGCCACAGGAGCGAGCAAAGCAGTTTCCACCTGCTCCCCACGAACAGCAGCTGTTTCATCATCACCATCATCACCCAGTCCCTGGGCATCCTCGAAGTCTGCAAGAAGCGGATCTAGTGACCACTCTGACGCATCCGTGTCGATGTCGGAGTCATTACCAGGAATATCTCCCTGATGGACAGCATCTGCCAGGCTTTGCACAGCAGCATCCTCCTCCAAGTCCGGGTTGTCGACATTGAAAAATTCGCTAACAGCATCCTTTCTCTGCTCCAAATATGGGTCCTCGAACATCTCAAACAATGCTTCCAGTTCCTTGTCGTCTGCCTTGCTAGCCCCATCAGGTCCAGCCGAAGCCTGTGGAAGATGATTACCAGGAGCAGCAGCATCACCAGCTTCACCAGCTGCTGCATTCTCGTTCTCCTCGAAGCCAGGGGCACCACGCCGGCGGCCTCCCTCAACCCCGGTCCTCTTGCGCTTGCGGTCACCGGCACCTTGACCTGCCAGACCTGCTTTCTTTTGGGCTCGTTTCTGTGCTTCTTCCTGACTCCGCCTTCGAGCTTCGGATTCTTTTTCAGAGCCGATCCAAACACAAGAAGGGTCAAGGCCAGGGAAAGGGACCAAGGGCACTGTGCTTGATGAGGAGTCTAGGTGATGCCAATGGTTCTCCTGGTCCGAAATCGTGAAAACAGCCACGTGCCAAGGCAAACTCAAATCAAGGACATCTCTGTAAAATTGCAGATCCGTGTAAACACCCATGGCTTGCTCAGCACACTCCGGCGACAAGTGGCCTGCTTGCAAAACACCGGTGTCGTCAGACAAATCTGGCGGCAAGCCAAGAAGCTCAAGATTTGCATGAAGTCGGAGCAGGGAATAGTGGTACGTCGACAAGTTCATGTGTCCAATATGAGCAAAATGCTCAACCGTCGTGGACACTTCATCAAGAGGATCATGAATGACTCGAAACTGGAGAACCACGGACTGTTGCTCGAGCTGCCGCCGTGCTTCCGAAGTCTTGTGGAACGTACTCTGCAAAAAAGGCCGAAGCTTCATGGCAAAGTGCATGGCATCTGGGCATGACATACGTGATTCTCCGCAAAAGCAGAACCCCAAAACCAGGCAGCGCGAAGGGCGGAAGGCCCCGGTCATTGGCTTTATAGGTGCCTGATCTGCATGAAAGTGAATCCGGCAGCGCTCGGACCACCTGGATTGCAGCAGCGCGTTGAGACCGAATTGTCTTCGAACATCAACGTTCTCGTTGCTCAGCAAGTCCTGGCGCGATCAAAATAAAAGCCTACTGACCTACTGACTGCCTATAGGCCTAGGCCTAGTGACAGTCTAGACTTCAAATATTGTCTTTGCTAAACCTCGCACCGCACTGACCGCCTAGCTGCTAGATGCTGCTGCCAGAGTGCACAAACGACTGTCACAGGAGTGCTTCAGTCTCTGATGTTAGCCTCTGATGTTTGGAGCCATTTAAACAAATGTGAAACTGTAAGAAAATAACAGTCGCAGGAAAGAAAGCTGACACGGCTATCAACGCTGCTTATTATAACTCTGCAGACACGCAAGACTCTACGCCCTTCTATAGCTATAGCTCTCGTCTTCGGATTTTGATGACTGCAGAGCAACACACACAGGATTCGTTATAGCCTATTGCCGCTATAGCCGATAGCTGCCGATAGTCCGATAGCTGCTAGGTCGGGCTTCGCTAAGCACCCTAGCGGCTGAGTGACTGACCGAATCTGGTTTCTATGGCAGGACGGCAATCGAAGCAATATTTGTGAGCATTTTCTGTGCAACAGAATTATCAAGCGATCAGAGAAGGAGACATAGTAGCAGGTAGCAGCTGCAGGCCTCATGTGGGCCACAGGTTAACGAAATTTGTGTATTAGATACAAATGATTGGAATGATTGGAACACTGGAATAACGACTCCGTGCTTGATAATCTGTGGGAGGAGGCAGCGGACTCTAACGACTATCCATGTCATGATTTCCATCAAGTCCGGGGCACGGCATACCTCTTTCGAGAAATACGTTGGCCTCTACTGGGGTTTCTTGAGTTGAAGAAATCTTGGACTCCGTTGAACCGTAGCTGTAGCAGTAGCATGGAATCGATTGTTGATGCTGCACTACTCACTGTGGTTATGGTTCATGCGACTGGTAAGTTCTCTACTGTCCTCGGGTTCCCGAAGCCGACATAAACAGGGCTTAAGGCTTAACTAGACTCACTAGACTCACTAGACTCGACTAACTAGAATATGCAGAATCGGACCTGACTTGACTACATGACTACATGACTTTGCTGCCTGAATCTTACACTAGAGCCTTAGAGCTCCTGAACCGGACTTTTGCAGACGTCGCTGTGGATTCCAGTGTGGATTGCAGGACATGTGTGCGATCGCAGAACTTTCCGCGAGGCAAAAGCACACAAGCGAAGCCATGTCTGTGCATTTAAAGGACCCGCAAATCACTGACATTCAGCCACTGCGGCGGCGCCGTGCCATGCGCCGAGCGAAGCCAGCACCGGAGAGAACAAGCCTGCGCACCAAGCAGAGGTTGTCCTCGGCACGCTGCTCAATCGTGGTACCGAAAGAACGGCGGGAGCCCGAAGACCTCAGGTAGACTGCGACATGATCCACGAGCCAGCCCTCCAGACGGTCACCCTCCATGGCGCAGGTAGCACTCCCATTGTTGGCGATGGCACTGATTGTATCAGAGCCAGCGCAGCTGCCGATTGCCTCCAAGACGTTGTCACGATAGAAGAAAACATGTGCAGCAATCTCTGGATGCCACTGAGGCTGAGGATGCTGAAGACGCCGGCCCTCCACTGCAGCTTCCCCGCCAGAAGACTTCTCCGCTGTCTGGTCCCCAGAGCCCATGTCACGATGAGGCTCCATGTGGCGCACACACAAGCTAGCAGCTACAATCTAGAACCTCGGTCTAGGACCTATCTAGGAGTTTGGGGGCTGCTAGATTCTGCTAGATGGCACGCTAAACCTTTAAAGGGGGCCCTTTGAAAAATTTTCACGTGCTCGACTTTGAGCAGCGACTGCAGTTCCCGATGCAATTCAGTTCAATGAACATGGCTGACATGGCTCGTGGCAAGAAACATGCAACTTCGGTCCTGAACCGGCTTCTCGACGTGCGGATTCCAAGAGAAGGCAGCAGTGGTTGACGCTGCAGCAGGAACCTTACTCACAGCAGCTGCCAGCTCGGAGTGGCCATCACGTTCCCACTGTTGAGCTGCTGCCAGGCACGGTGCATCCTCCTGGTGACGAGCAAGGGCCACGACCTCATCCTTGGAAAGGTCCAATGCATCCACTCGAGCCTTGAACAAAGCGGCAAGTTCAGCCTGGTAGGAGACATACCTGTCAGTAAGTGTGCCTTCCCGAGCGAAGCTCTGGATGGCACCGTCCGGAGCATCAGCAGCTACGATGACGCCGTCCCGCGTGCGATCACCGTCCAAGAGCATCCCAACAGCAGCATTTCGCCCCTGCCTGGGCCCCGGCCTGGGGTGTGCTGGAAAAGCACGCATGGACATACGATGCACAGCTGTACCGGCCTGGCCTGCTTCAGAATACCGCTGCCAGTCGGCATCGGACAGATCGTGATAGGCAGCAGAAAGGGAGGCTGCAAGCTGCGCCGTCAGCTTCATGCCTTTGGCATTCTGATGCACAAAGGCTCGCCAAGCCCCCCCCCCTCCACGTCTCTTCTTTTGCCCATCTTTTTTTGTCGGCTTCACCTTTGACGACATCCTCTGTGATGTGGTGGCACCAAGTGTCTTCCGCTGAAGCAGCAAAAAGCGACTCGAAACGGTCTCGAGAGAAGAGGTCCACCCGCGAGAACGCAGGTTTGCAAATTCCCTTGCCGAAGAGTGACCAGCTTCTATACTGGCCACATCAACTGCAATGATGCTGGCCAGGGCTTCTAGTATCGCAATGGCCTCTGCCCCATTCAGGTCGGAGCCGAAGCGATCCATGAGCTTCTGACTCAACTCATCTCGGAAGCAGGGCGGGAGACTCAAGAGAGATTCCACCATTCGAGTGCTCGGATCGGCAAGCAGCATGAACATCTGGTATGGCAGCATCTGTCTCCGCAGTCGCAAGAACGAGTGGAGGGAACAAGCACCTGCTGAGGCTATGCTGAAGCGGAGTTTGCGGTGGCAGCAAGCAACAAACTCCTGCTTGGCCACTTTCACGGGCTCCAGCGGAATCAGGAGGAGATGCAACATGCATGTGGAGACATCTTCACCCCGGGCCGCTTCCAAGATGGGCCAGGAACGTCTTTGTCCGTTCGCCGCTCGAGCTTCTTGTTTTCGCAACCAGGCCTTTCCGGACAATGTCAGAAATCGTGCCATTAAGCCATGAATGGCTGCCAAGACCTCGCACATCACTGCCAAACGATCGAAGGGATCAGAATGCGCATAGGTTTTTGCCGATCTGCGCCGGCGTGCATTCTCCTCCACCCAAGCTGAAGTTTGGTTTGCAGCAAGGACTTCAGCTGAGGCTCCTGGAATTGTATGCTTCGGATCAATAAAGCACATGGTGCCGAAAACAAATGAACGACATACGTGCTAAGTCGGAACCCCAAATAAGCCGACAGATTTCAAACTGAAGAACCCGCCGCAAAGTTGGAAGCTCAAAAGGTTGAAGGCTGTAAGGCTCCCGAAGGGGGTGAAGGATCTTCTCAACATTCAGAATTCAATCAACTCAATGCATCCTGAAAGAAATGGCACATCTTCTGCATCGGGCAAAGAAAGCCAAGCCTTCTGTCATGAATCGTTTGGGTGCGCCCACACATGTAGATGTTAGGGCGAAAGGTTTGCCAGAACGATTTCGAGTTTAGGGCAACTGATTTCGGAACGTGTCTAAAGTCTAGGGCCTCGGGCCTACGGCTGCAAGAGTTGGGGCACAAGCCAGAAACCAAGACACGGCAATGTCCTTCGTCTTCTCGGGGAGCAGCATCTGCGGAAGCTTCTTGGTCTCTGCCTGAACTCGGGTCAGCCTGCAAGTGCAGCTGCACCTCATCCTCAAGCACTGCAGCCCACTCATCGGAGCGGTCAGGGCCAGGGCGAGCAACAGGAGCTGCTTCAGGTTTGCCAAAGAACTTGTTCATTAACCGAACAAAAAGTCCGTGATGGGACTCTAGTACTCCAACAAAGTGCAAATTTCCCAGCTGTCCAATCCACGACTTCCGGCATAACACCGGGCAAGCGAATGGAGCCAGCGCCCAGGTTAAGAAGAGAGAAGCGTAGGACAAGGTTTCCTGCTTGCTGTCGCAACAACCCACCGGACAGAAGTGCTGGATCTCAGGGCGATTGATGAAGCCGTTTAAGATCGATGCCAAGATGTGCCTTCGCTTGCGATTGATTTTCTCTACAGGTCTGAGAACTCCTTCAATCGGAAGGAAAGTGTCGAAGACCTGCTTCCGATATTCATTCGCCTCCGCTGGCGGCTCGGCCGGGATGACGTCGAGATCATCGAACAGCACAGAGATCAAGGCATCTCGAAGTTTCTTGACAGAGCCGAGCTCCGACAGGGAGAGTGCTGTGTTAAGCAGGCCACTGATGTCACGCTGACAGCTGGGATTTTTCATCATGGTGTTGATGCACGTCGAGCAACGGTGGATGTCACAGGCTAGGTGAGTAGACACGAAGCTCGGAAATTCACATCCAATGCCCGCCTCCGTGCGCCCATTGGCACCGTAGCGGTCTGTAGTGCTGACTCGCACCTGCAAAGGAAAAGCGGCTGCCGCCCGCTTCAGTTCCGGTACCACGGCCAAGTTTTCCATGACACAGCTGAGCTGGGCTTCGCCCGTCGACCGATCCATTGCCTGCAGGCACGTCGGCACACATCCACTCAGCCAGAAGTGCTCCAGGCTGCCACCAGCTGTGCGGCGCTGGTACAGCACCCCCAGTTTTACTTCGGTTTGCAGGACTTTGGCATGGGTCGCACTCTGCGGCATGACCCGCGGTGCGACATTCTGCATCTCTAAGAACCTCTGCAGCTGTTGCCCAGAGCTCGCGACACGAGGCACCAAAAGGTGTCGATCTGCAACACCGCCTTCAGTGTCGCCTTGAGATGACACAGTTGCCACTCGAATGCGAGTGGGCGTCTCGTCATACTTCAGGCCCAGCACAAACAAGATCGGCTTTGTGTTTGCAGCAGCAACAGTCTGTTGCAAGGACGTGAGCATAACACTCCACATCAAACCAGCGCCGTGCAGTGTAGCCGATGCCACGGCCAACAAACTTCTCTGCACCACAGTCCGATTCGCGGCCTTGGTCACCTTCGCGATGGAGCTCGACGAACAAGTTAGAACATCACCTTGCTGTATGTGGGAGACAATCTTGCGGTCCGTGTCATCGCTGGGCCCGTTTGCTGGGCCCGGCTTCGCCTTTTGGGATATGGCCACCAAGGCTGCACCAAGTGTCTTATGCACTGCGAGACCGAGTGACATCAACAAGCTCAAGGGACCATACACTGTTGGAAGCTGCATCTGCCCAGGTGATCGTGTTGCTTGGACTTCGGCTTTGGCGGCTTCACGCTTCGCGGCTTTCGCACGCCTGACCAGCTGCATGTTGCCCGGTCCTGGTCGGGCCTCATCAGCCTGCGACTGTGCCTCTTCCTCTTCTGCCCTTCTCTGGGCCATGAACAACTTTGTAGTCCCAACGGGCCGTCCTCGTTTCGGTTTCTCGCCGGCCCCAACACTAATCAACACAGACTGCTGCACGTGCTCTGTCGTCTCAGCCGCAGTCGCAGCACGCGAACTTGATGCTCCACTTGATCGTTCAACTGTCTCAAGCTCTAAAACATCATCCCAATCATTGTCGTTCCCAGTCGACATGACCGGTTATGGTAACCATTCAATCAACATGCTTCCTACTGAAAGCTGGGGCTCTGATTCCAAATCACTTGTATCATGACATCCAAAACAACGGTTCAGTGGAGCGATTAAGGTCTCGCGATTGGGACTAGGACTAGGGCAATGGCGACATGGTCCGAGCTCAGTTCTATTCTGTCAAACTTGTGCCTATTGGGAATGAAGTGTTAAGACGGTCTCAGGGGGAGCAGCTCCTGAGCTGCTGAGCTGAAGTCAACACAGACTGGACTGCGTGACTACAGTGACTATACTATACTTCTTGCTTGCAACTCCGGCACCGTCCTAGTAAGCCCTGCTGGGCCCAAGCTGCATGGATCACAAGCAACCGTCAAAGCATCGTTTACATTTACCCTCCACTCCCTTCGGTCTGCATGTTCCACCCAACACAAGTGCCTGTTTCAGCTTGAAGCGAAAACCCCGGAAGCCAGGAAGGGACTTCGACTCCAAACGAGGGTTTGCACGGCAGCACCATGGTACTATTACCAGTACCACAAGTCTGAAGTTTGACAGCTCGCCACCAAATTTCCGACCAGCAAGAAACACAGACTGGAAGTAACATCGAGGAGGAGGCCATTGCTTCCGAAAACCCCGGCCGAATCCAACCTTCTAAACCAAACGGCTACACTGCTACAGTCTAGGGCCTATCTAGGGCATGCGGCTTCTCAGCTTCTTCTCTCAATCTATGACTCCACAAGATAGGATAATCGGATAACTATAAAGCACCGACTCCGGAACTTTGGCAACTCAAAGACTGAAATAACCCTCTGGAGGTCAAGTGACAAGTGGGGCTCTCGTGTCAGGCATGGGCAACTTCTCGAGTGATAGCGGTCTGATAGTGGCAACTCCCAAACTAAATCTTCAGCTAACCCGGCTAACCGACGAAATCCACAGCCCCAACCCCGCTAACCCTTGCCAGGCAGGCCTCGGTCTGGAGATGCGCAGCCAGAGGCTGACATCCAAAAGGACCTTGGTCACGTAGTAGCCACCGTGCTGGAACCCTGTGTTGCCGAGCAGGTTCATGAAACTGGCGACAAAACGAAGCATGCGAGACCTTTTGCAATTGCTAGCTGTTACACTGTTACACGTCACTAGCTGCCCGATTCCAAGCCGGAGCCTACGGCCTGCAGTGTCTGAGGCTAACAGACACATATGTGTGGGAACAACGGCTCCAATCTGCAATGCTCTAACAACTGGGACCTGAAACCTCAAGCCGCAAGCCTCGTTGCATCCGGCCACCCATGTACGAAACAAGCAGCAGCAGCAGCAGCACGACTTCACAGCACCACATGTGGTAATGCGCCAGCCGTTCCCTGTGATGCCTACACTGGACTCTGGACCTACACCAGGACCTGGACCTACACTGACTCAACACTTGACAGCAAATCTGGCAACCCGGCCTGTCGTAGGGCGTGTTCATCGTCGTTGCGTCGATGGGATACAGGAATCCCATGACTTGTTCAAGCACGGCAACGTGAGGCTCGAACAGTCGAAACATGTCGATGATACTCTTCATGGTGACATCATAAGACACATGACTCTTCACGTTCCCACACGCAAACCGCTTTGCTCTGTAAACACTGAATGGATTGCAAGGCGATCCTGCAATCATCAAGTCGCAGCCTCTGCATGCCTCCTGACTGCCGCCTTGGCAGTACTTCTCATCATGACCCTGGCTCGCACAGATGAGGCATGGCTTTGAAGGCTCTGATTCTGTCTGAAGCTCCACTGTCTCGAACAGATGCTGGATGCTATCCGGATGATTCTCCTGCAAAAACATTCGGAAGTCTGCATTGCTCTCTGACGCTGAGGCGAGCTTGAAGTCAAAGCGGAGGGCCTGCGTGAACGGCACGGTGCTCTGATGTCTTGAATCTTGAAGTGTCTTGTTTCGAATTTGGTGATTGTAGCAGTTAATGATAATGAAGCAGCTGGAATCTGGAACTGAGTCAAATGTTCTGTGATGCCACTTGTGGTGTCACTGGTGACCTCGAAAGAAACAGCTGGTTTCCGTTTCTGTTTCTGCCCAGCTGTAACTGTAGCTGTAGCAACTGCAGCAGTGAAGGAACTACACTACAATGGCAATATCGAATATCACCTCAAACACCTGTATTCTGGGGGGGGGGGGGTGCAAGGATGGCTACGTATATACAGCTGGGCTACTTATTTCAGCCAACAGCCAGAATCCAGAAGCTCCAGACAACGACGTCA